CAGATTATTTCTGTATGTGTAGTCTTAGGTGCTTTGTTTCAACGTTTCTGTGTTTAAGTTTCTGTAAATGATGATCAACCACCAAGTTTATCCATAAAATACAAAGGATAAATAGTGGGGTCTGAGAGGCCCCCTTACAGGCTTCTAGGGAAATCGGACCATCCAGAAGACTAGGGTTAAAAGCGAAAACAAAAATAAATCTATTTTCTTTCGGTTCGTGTTGAAATTAATGCTTTTGAAAGATTCACATGTGGTAAAATAGAATTATCTTTTAACTGCATATAGTGCAGCCAATTTGCTACCCTATAATCAATAAATCAATAGATCTGCATATTTCATTTCGACCTAAAGTGTATGAATTTTTTTAATTTCATTTTTGTTTAAAATTTCTATGCTGTGACCTTCCACTTACACTTCGACTTAAGTTCCAGACTGTATATTTTATTTTCAAATTCCTGGATTTCTTTCTTTTCTGTAAGTGAGATTCCTGTATTGTGAATGCCTTTACAGAAAATAATTATAATGTAGTATGCTCAAATGAAGGTAAAATTATTTCATGTGGTCTGATACTTAGATTTTTGGTTGTTTTTTTTCCTAATGTGTATTTAATATAAAATGCAATGTACCGTACTGACTTCTCTGTTTAATTCATGTACATATTTTTTATGTGTCACATTTACTCATAAAATAAAATTCATCTGACAAGTAAACTTAGACTTCGACGTCGTCTAAGGATTTCACTCGACAGTTTAAAAAAGGAGTTATAATGGAGAGTCGTTTTTGTTTGAGTAAACAGAAGCACATCGACACAATAATGATCATTTAAATTGGTGTTGGGAAAAGGTACGACAGACATACAGAAACAAAAGGGGGAAAGTAAAGAAGTAGGTCCTACCAGTGACGCCCCCCAACCACCCGCTTAATGTGTGTGCATTTAGTAGATTTACACGTAATGGCATGTTTCCACAACTGGCCATGGTAGTGGAATCTGCACAAGACGTCTTTTTTTTTAGTAAGAGTTTTACAACACTTGCAATAGTTGCAACACAATAAAGTCATATAAGTGCAAAAGATTACAGGTGTTACAAGAGAGTAACAAACACAAAACAGAAAGAGGGGAGATTATTTTTGTTTTTGTAGAGGTTTTACGGCGCTCGCAACTGCACAAGGTCATATGAACACCAAGGGGTGGATGTCAACAGAGAAGTCCTTACAAGTTACAGGGAATCAGACTTACTCTGCTCACCAAAGAGGGGAGATATATAAGGATGTTAGATGTTTGTTTGTTTTAGTAGAGGTTTTACGGCGCTCGCAACTGAATAAGGTCAAATGAGCGCCAGAAGATTAGAGGAGAGTAACAAACATATAAAAAAAGAAGGAGGGGAGATAAGGACGATAGATGTTTGATAGGAAAGAAGAAGCAAACCACGCCACAGCACCCGCTAACAACCCACTGTTAGATGTTTGTTGATAAGAAAGAAGAAGCAAACCACACCAGAGCACACGCCAACCACCCAGAAGACGTCTTAGGTGTTATAGTTCTGGTAAGAGTTTTACTGCACTTGCAAGACAATTTGGTCAAATAAGCACCGAAGAATAGAGTTGTTACAAGAAAGTAACAAATGCACACAAAAAAGTGCGATAAAGACAATAGACGCCTGACAGGAAACGAGGTGCAAACTACACGAGAGCACTCGCCAACCACACACTACAAAGGATGGCTACCCAGGCTTTTAATTAAAAACACATTTATGGTTTAGCAGTCTGTATACTGTTCACTGTTAGTCTTTTTCATGTAGGTGTTATACGCCTAACCGCTACATCCCAGACACCCATCATCCAGAATTGATGACGTCACAAAAATAGATAGATAGTATAGGTCTACAAAGAAATGTATGGCTACTAATAAAGCAAATTATCAGGGATAACACTGGATAAGCCTCTTTGAAATGTGAAACAAGATTTATTCGACATGTAACAAAACAATGCAGTTGCAATCAAAGTTATTGTTCACAGCTGCTGCATTACATGAGTTGTTGTAAGGGGGGAATCTATTGCACAACAAAAACAATCATCATGGAAAAGGTGTGGGAATAGTTCACCACACTCTGCGCTGTATTATTTTTTAATCATCACATCCAGTAGGATCACCACAGAGATCACTGAGTTGCAGCCCACTTGAAGAAAAAAGAATAGGGGGGGGGCGGCAACATAACTATTGAAGTTGAAGCATCCATTTATGATTTAGTTTTTTCATCAAGACATCGCAGTTTTTGCAGTAATTAGATCTATCATTTACAGAGCCACTGACCCCTCTTGAGACAGCCATTGAGTGTCAGCAGTCCAAGGAGAATTTCTGCATTTGATAAATAATTATTTAAATTATCTTATAATAATCAAAATAATTTTGTTGTGTTTCAATAGAAGCGCTTGAAATTATGAGGGGGGGGGGGGGGGTGTAAGCAACAGAAAGAAGTCACAAAAATCTTCACACATGTACATGTACAGCCCGACGCGACCTTGTCGTGTATCCAAGAAAACACTTACTCAGCAGATTTGTCAAAACTGTGATAACAGTAACACACCACTTCTAATGCCCGACTAACAATGAATAGACATGCACCACTGTTATAGGAATTAACCTAACACACATACACAAATACATTCGCAATAAGGTTTAGGTAAGCAGCAATTCATCACTTTCTTGTCACTTATTATTAGTTTCTCTCTAAAACACATTAAAAAAATTATTTTCAATAAGATGTCTTTTGAGAGTATGGTGTATGAGGAGTAGGCTGTATACATTGTATACACATATTGTACGTATACATTACATATAATCAGGAAAAATAGTCTGGAAATAAACCAAAAGAAAACATCAGACGTTGACGAAATTGAAAGCCTCACTACTTTGTACACAAAACAAAACATTTGGACGGAGGCACACTTTTTCCTATCACTGGATACTGAGACTGGATAGGAAATTCTCTCAATAAAAGATGACGAAAAAAAAATTACCTCCACTCAGCAGATTCATATACCTGTTGTCACCTCTATGAAATCACATTTATCGGCAACTACAGCGGCAGCAAAAAAATTTGTTGAACTATGGGAAATTTGCTGTTGAAAGGAAGAAAATGTTCCTTTACTGACAAAACAGATTTGGTATTCTGGGACTCCACCAACTTGCCAAATGTTTTAGTTTCAGTTTTAGTGAGAGTTTTACAACTCTTGCAACACAATTAGGTCATATAAGTGCCGAAGATAAGAGGTGTTACAAGAGGGTAACAAACACAAAAAAGGAGGAGAGATAAGAATGATAGACGTTTGGTAAGAAAGAAGGAGCAGACCACATCAGAGCACCCATCAACCATCCACCTTGACACAGGGTGAAAATGTCATTGGCAGAAAGATCACACGCATGGCGGTCTCACAGAAAAAACAGATACACAAAACCATGCACATAAATCAGACCGAATTTTCTTTAATCAAGCACAACACTGACAAGCTGTTTAAGTGTACTGAGCCCCCCCCCCAGGCATTGCTACTGATTGAAGTAACTTTAGGTCATTCCCAAAGGGGGGATATTAACACGTTTTTATGCACAGTAGAATTGTAAATCTGATCTGTCAATGTAATGCTCGTACTGTGTTGGAACAAAATAGGGGGAACTGTTGCTTTTTCTTTCCTCATCCTTACTATCGTCATTTTTTCCTCTACTTATTTTGTATGTTTGTCACTCTCTTGCGAACTGCTATTTCCAGGGTTTCTTGATAGTCGAAACAGACTTTGCGCTGTTGAGGCCAGAGGGGTGAGCAGAACAACCCTGATTCCCCGTTTGAACTTCTCCGTTGACATCCACCCCTTGGCGCTCATGTGACCTTATGCAGTTGCGAGCGGCGTAAAACCTTACTAAAAACTTTAAAAAACAATGTACTGAGCCTAGAAGGCAACATTTTTCAAGAGAGAGCAAAAAACTGTTACATTCATATGTACCTGATTCGAGAACAAGGAAGAAGAAATATGTACCAGCATTAAACGTATTTTTGTTTGCTTGATTTTTTTCAACATTTAGAATTTCAATTTCAACTAAGCATTTCTTGAGCACATTTAACTAATACTAATACCCCAAATTAAGATTAAGAAACTGCAACAAAAAAAGTATTTGAACTTTTGGGTTCAGTACACCTGAATAGCTGGCAGATGACACGTATTATTTCTTTGTATCATGATTCTCTAACCCAACCTCACTGCAGAAAGAAAAATTGATCATGAGACAGAGCAGTGGTACTCTTTTCTGTCTAACTGCAGTTACTCCAAAAATAGAGTGGAGTCCGCTTACTTAAACTGAAATCTGCCAGACCGCTGGATTTTTGTAAGTTTAGCTTCAGCAGTGTTTTCTGTTTTGAGAGATAACTCATATAGTCAAGAAAACAATCGAGGATTTTATTTTTCTTTTGGTTTACTGATGTTTTCTGATTAAACGTGTTTGGATTAAACAGACTCCGCCTGTCATGATAAATTAATAATCAGAAAAATTGGAGACAGACTGAGAACCCTGCCTCTCCAGCTCAATCCCTTGACTGCAGAGTTTAAGTAAATACCCCATCCCGTAGTGATAATTGTACAGTGCATAGAACATGCTGCAGAACATGGATATGTGCTAAATAAATGCAATTATTACTATTATCATCATGATCACACAACAATATTTCACATTCTCCTTCTACAATCACAAACTAAATCGCCACAGACAGGGTTATCTCCTCTTCTCTCCTTTCTGGGTTCTCTTCTTCTCCGTGTCCTTCCTCTCCTGTTGCTTCTGTTTCTGAGCAGCCCGGTCTTGCTTGTCCTTCTCCTTTTTCTTTTCCACTTCCTCCCGCGCCTTTTCTCTCAAATCTTTCTCAGCTCGTGCAACTTCCTCCTTGTTCACATTTCTCATGAGCAGAGCTGAATTTTCTGTAAGGATACTATAACCATAACAAGATAGGCGTTCTCCATGTTTTATATAAATTACTAATAATAGTGATAATATTACATTTTTAAAGATAAAAAATATAATAATAATAAGTCTGTCTGTAAATGTTAAATCATGTCCCATGCATTTGCGAAGGATAATATTTCTTCAGCAAAATAGAAGAAATAAAAATTAAGTGGACTTGTGGCTTCTGCTATGACTGATGAGACCAATTCTGGCACAAAATTTTTTGTCATATTTTAAATATTTGTTAAAAGATAGCACAAGCAGTGAGAAAGAGACAAACTTGAGAACAAATCCCTTGCCCCCCACCTCCTCAATTATAGAACAGAAAGCAAAAGAGGCAGAGGTACACCAGCAAACAAAGTACTTACAGAACATCAACAGATGGGGAAAGGCCAGCATCATACTGGTTTGTTGAGAGTAGACCAAATTTTGAACAAAGAAATGACTAGGAAACCACGATTGCTGATATCTGTCTCAGATCTGGCACATGATGAAGAAGTAATAAACCCTATCCATATGTCGTGTTTACTATTGTATCAAAACGACGTAGGGAACTCTGTGCCACCACTTTCCATAGAGGAAATTTACTCGTGAATCCTATCCGTAAGCTTTGCATAGCAGTCTATCAAAATGATTTTTTGAGAAATACTGAAAGTTTCAAAGAGATCTTCGCACTAGAAGTATTCTAAAATGTGTATTCGGGGTACAAAATGACCCAAGGCGTACGGATAGTGATAAATAATCATACTGATGATACGGGAGCCAAAGGTGCCAACTGCTATGGAACAAAAATCCTGAACTTTTCAGACCCTGTGGAAACACCTGAGCCGGGACTCAAAATTTACAAATCATATTGCCTTATTTATTCATATTTCATCAAGACTTTTTTCGAATATAAAGTCCAATATCTGGATAATTTCTAAAATTCGGATTTCCGGATTTGTCCACACAAAAAAAACGACACTTCTGACAAGCCATTTATATATATATATATATCAAACCTTTCAGGATCAATGGGAAGCAAGATGGAAGCAGGGAACAGCTGCTGTAACAAAAGGATACAGTCCTGGGTTTCTCCTCGCCCTTTCCCTCCTCCTCCTCCGCCAGTCGCCGGACTGCCATCCGAGTCATCGCCTTCGTCTTCTGACCTGGTCATATGTTAAGGACAATAAGAAAGCACTTTTCCACTGATGGACAAATACCAACACAATATGAATAAATTGAAATTGAATATTGCTTAAGTTCGCCTGAAATTTGTCGAAAATGGCCACCCTTTATTGAGGAGAACAGAGGTTGTCTTAGTCAGGTGAACATATTAGACAGGTGAACGTCTTAGACAGGTGAATGTCTTAGACAGGTGAACGTCTTAGACAGGTGAATGTATTAGACAGGTGAATGTATTAGACAGGTGAACGTATTAGACTGGTGAACGTCTTGGACAGTGTCCTTATAACATTTCTTAAAACGCAAGGGGGGGGAGTAGTAAGTGGTCCTTTGTAAGTATAGGTGATTGTCTTGGACAAGTAACCATTAGAGCAGGTTCTACAATATCTTTGTGATATCTTTTTTGGATCGTTTGTTTTAGTAAGAGTTTTACGGCGCTCGCAGCTGCATAAGGTCATATGAGCAAGCGTAAAAAAGCTGGTTCTATTCGCAACAGTTCACTGCACAGCACGATTCTGGTCAACACCTCTACTAAAATGCTAAAATACTAAAATTTGGTATAAATAAATTCTTAATTTGAATAATTTTTAAAAATAATATTTAACATTTTTAAACCATGTAATTTACAATTAAAGGCCAATGGCCTTTATCAAATCAAATATTCTGTTGGGATCAACGAAGGAAAAAAATCTTGCAATTTTTTGCATCTAAAATATTTATATATCTTTGAATGTAGGTACCAGAAACTAAATTTTCAAAGTAGTTGTATGCCAAATTTATCAGTTCCATTTGAAAGGCCTATATCCACTGAGCATTTTGGTACCATTCTTTAACCTCTCAGTCAATTTTTAAGAAAATGGTAGTTGTTTAAAATTTGATCAAATTTGTTAAAGTCAGTCACTGGCTGCAACCCCATGTTTGACATACAATAAAAGAGTACCAAGAGCACTAAACATCTCCACATTAACAGAGTACAATCACTATAACAAATATATGGAGCCTAATTTTTTTCAAGACTGTGAGATCATGACAAATCAGTATTTTATCACTTCAAACACGATGATCTGTCGTTATTTCGACAAAAACACAGAGCGTTGACCCGGCTGGCGCCGCACCGGGCCCCGCAGCGAGCGAGTCGGCTCTATACTGTAGTGTACCCCGCGTGCGGGGTCACATGCTTTCTGAGTCTCGCGGAAGGATTGATGAAAAATAATTCCAAGCTGATTACTTTTATCTAATAGAAAATAAATTGATCTTTTATTAGACATATTTTTTAAGCCGGTATTTTACATATTATGGGTAAAAAGTGATCTTTAAACATTTTGACAGTATTTTTAAAAGCTTTCTATTTAGACGGCAAAGGCAAAACACATACCACGGGAAAGCCCGTTTAAAGCTCTACAGTTCTCCGCCAATGAAAAGACAGTATTTAATCATTCCTCGTTCCGCGAAGCATTTGAATGCACCCGTGTCAATTTTTCAACCGGCCGACCACGCATTCCGACCGCGAGGGGCTTCGCTTTCGTCGGCGATTCTCCAACTCCTATTAACCGGACATAAAAACAACTTACACCATTGTAACGAGGAAAAGCTGAACTTTTACAAGGTGTACAGCACTTGGTGTTTTATAGCGAAAGAGCAAAGAAACAGCGATCGGAATTACCCCGATTTCACCGATACCACGTGGTCGGAAGGCCGCGAGTGCCCGCGAGGCCGTGTTTACGCTACCTATTGAATGTATGCACTTTCAAACATTTCATTTCTTAGGCTACCAGTGTTTCTTCACTTTTTTGGTAAGAAATCATTAGTGGAATTTTGCCCATTTACAGGTCGGTCTGTTCCTTTGTAATTTCCAACTGTCGTAAAGCTGTTTGTTAATGTAAGAATTAACCAGAGATCAAACATTAACTGTTCAAGGATACTCTTCTCCGTCTGAAACCTGAGCATACTGTGCCAAGATGGCTGCCTTGCGCTCTGCTTCTTCCTTCGTAAGTTTTTTCTCTTTCACAGTAGCCAAAGTCTGTTGGCCCAAAAAGGTTGAGAGTTGATCACCCTTGTCTGAAGAGTAAAGAAATACAAATAAACACCACTGTTAACAATTTTTTTTTTCATTTTTACCATTGATATACGATTATGTGTCATCATGGGTCTGTCTGAGAGTGTAAGCATATATTACAAGTATATATACGTATGCATGTGTGCGTGAGAGTGAGAGAGAGTGTGTGTGTGAGAGTGTGTGTGTGTGTGAGAGAGTGTGTGTGTGTGTGCGTGTGAGTGTGTGTGTTCATGTATAAGTGTATTACATGTGTGTGTG